AGCAGAAAAGTATCAAAACTAGGTATAAAAAGTAAAGCCATATTAATATGCTGAGCTATAAAGGGCTCAAGTCAACAACTTCTAACATTGCCAGTCCTACGGATAACCCACTGCTATTATGGACTACTGGACTATATTGAATTATTTTGCTGAATTCAAGCACCTACAATATTTAAATGGCAATGGAATACCCATCTCTGACAAAACTAAACAAAGAAAGGGGGATACAAATGAAGGACCATTTTGTATCTGTACATACAAAATAGTTAGGATAGATTTACAACTACTTTCTCTTAATTCAATGAGAAGAAAAATTTGTACTAATACTGTTTGGACAGAATATTCATTTCTGCATCTTGAATAACCACTTCAAAGACAACAGTATGCAATGTATTAATTATTGAAACCGTTCTACTCATCGGTTTTGAGACTGTCTCATTGCTATTTGTTTCTCAATAAAATTAATAAAAAGAACTAGAAGTAACCTATCAAAAAAATATATATTGCAGCTAAGATGGGTATAATATTTTACACGCATTTTAGAAGAAATCACACAAAAACAGATGCTTTTTCAATGCATCTCGCCAGCTACACATCTCTTCTGGTCAGTCCACCACAGTCATGTGATGTGAGAGTTACCTGGACCTTGTTGTACATACTGAACCATTTCGGGTGGTTATTTATCTTTTCTGCTTATAGGGCAACTCGGGACATAAAGCCAAAAGCCTGATTAAAATTTTTGAAGGCAACAACAATGATTATTGAATTCCTACTACTTTGTTTAGTGAAATTTTGTACTGTTTCTAATGCTGTGTTTATCAATCACTATTTTGTATTCTTTAAGAAATATAAAAATAAATCTTGTATCCATAACTTTTTAAAAAAAGAAAAGAAACAGAAAAAATTTAAATTTAAAAAAAAATTTTTTAAAGACCAAAGGAAAAAAAAAAGAAATATATAGCTATTATAAAATATCTCTGTGCTAGGGACCGCGGTTCGATCCCCAGCACCACATGCCAGCCAGACCCGCCCCCTGGTGGGCTGAGCTGGCCACACACACACACAATAAATAAATGTAATAAATAAAAATAAATAAACAAACAAACAAACCCAGGACCTTATTAAAAAAATAAAATATCTCTGTGCTGCTCTCACAGAGAAATTATCATCACAGTTAAGGGAG